TGTCTCTGGGTACTGGGATTAAATGCATATACCACCACACGTGGACCTAAGCTTTTCCTTACCTAGAATGTGTTCTTTAGCAAGATAGCTTTGAACTCAGAGATCTGCTTGCCACTGTCTCCTGGGATTAAAGGCTTGTACCACCATGTCCGACCTAAGCTTTTTATTGCCACTGTACTTCAGGATCCACATCAAAGCATGTGTCTTCTCACCCCAATATCTGGGTCATAGGTATACCCTCCATTTCTGGATTGTAGTTCATTCCGGGAACAGACAAGTGGACAACTGAGAATAGCCATGACAGTCTACCCCTTGTCAACTTGAGAGAAATCCCATCTTGTGTCCAAATGAAAATGGTAAACAGGACATAAATATGCCTAACATGATATACCTACCCCTCATGTAACCACAAATGCATTGTAAATTTAGAATAGGTCAGTTTCCCTTGGGAAACATAATTTTAGTATCTTCATCTTAAATATGCTAACTACGGATAAATAAAACACAAGTATCTATACAAATACATTCTTAACAAAATAAACCGGAATCAATCATGGTTTGCTCACATGGCCTTAGATGATGTTTACAACTACCTTCTTCTACTATCCATTCTGTATTTCCTCCTCCCTCTACAAGGACCTCAGCAGGTCTTGGCTTTTTTTCCTGGGGAAGTGAATCATATCTTCATTCCTAAAGGGTCTGTGTCCTTTGTCATCCTGCTTGGATTAGACTGTTGTTCATAGGACATGGTAATGCTAAGAGGCCCCCTAAAGATCTCTTACACTCCAGACATGATCCTTCTTAGCTCTGTCCTGGAGAGGCCATCCAATGTCCCTGTGGTAATCTGGATCTATAACTCCTCCTAACACTGATACTCCTTTTATAGCCTGTTGGTTTAAGGGCTTTAGAAGTCCAAAATGATCAGACAGAAGTCTAAGCTTTCAGTTCAATGGAATGTTTACTGTGGCTCCAGGGAGGAGCATTTCCTGCTCTGGAAACAAAACTTCCAGGCTAGCAAAACTTAGGGCTGGAGTACAGGAAGTAAAAATGTTCCCAGTGGGTCAATAGGAATGATAATCAATAGAACTGTTCCCCTTTGTACCCCTTGATTCCTGGACCTCTGGATCTAGGCCTCGGGAGAAATTTTATCATATATCAAACACTGACCCAAAGCATATACTGCCTTCTGAAGAACCCTGCCCAAGTAATCCATGCCAGTGCCACCTAAGTGGCCGTGAAATTGTGTCTTCAAAGGGCCTGGTGGGGAGTATTGTAAGACCAGTAGGTTCTATGGCATGGGCCCACGTCTGCATTCTGACTATGTAATGAGTTCTGGTCAGAAGCAATTCTGTGTAGGATACCATGATAAGGCATTCTGTAAATGCATGGATGATGGTTTGGGCAGAAGCATTATGCACAGGAAAGACAAATCTGTAATAAAAATAAACATCTACTCCCGTAATAACAAAATGTCCTTTCCATGGTGGAAGTGTTCCAATATAGTCGATTTCTGTCTTAGTGAAGATTTGAATGCGGTGAAGAAACACCATGACCAAAGCAGGTCTTATAAATGAGAACAGTTAATTGGGGTTTAGTTTATGATCATCTTGGTAGGAATGCATGGCAGCATGCTGGAGGAGGAGCTGAGAATTCTACATCTTGCTTCAAAGGTAGCCAGGAGAAGGATCTTTTTGCACACTGAGCCAAGCCTTGGCATGAGAAGCCTCAAAGCCCACCCCAGAGTAACATACTTCCTCCAACAAGCACCCACCTATTCCAGCAAGGCCACATCTCCTAAGAATGCCAATCCCCATGGGCTAAGCATTCAGACTCACGACTCTGTAAGAGACAAACCTATCTAAACTACCTCACAAGTCAAAGAGCCTGCACTTCCTGGACTTGAGTAACCTTCTCGCTTTTGCCCCCCACCCCATAATGATGTCCCAATATCAGCAGGATATACCCCTGTTTCACTGTTTGCCTTTGGCCTGGGAATAGATATTCCAAGAAAGCTTTATAGACATGAGTCATATGAGGAACCAGTACAGATTTGACTGAGTCAGAAAATATACCTTATAAAATAGCACCATACTTATTATGGCTGTAAACATTAACACTTACTGAGTAAAATTTTACTCCTCATTTATTTTCCATCTGAGATATGTATACTCTTTGATATAAATACCGCATTCAGAAATGTGTCTTCATATGCTGAGTTATTGCTGTTACACCCTTTGACCCAGTCTGAAAGCAGCACCAGGCTACAGGTGTAAACTGAGCCATTTGTACATGGAGCAAATGTCAGTAGAGGATTCCCTTCTAGGACTTGTGACTTCCTTTATTGTTGATTTTGGCCAGATTTCCAGTGTAACCAGTGTATTTTCCCCCCTTTGGAGCTGGCCTCAGATTGAACCAGAACGCCAGAGTCTTGTCAGTATGCCACCATTGAGTATGCCTTACCTGTTAGACTGGGACTATAACACACAGAATCTGAATCTAGATATGGTCTTCCCCCTGCCTCATCATTATCATACATTGTAGTGTCCCCTTTTGGTCTCAGGTTCCAGAGCATCTGTTCCAGTGGCTGCTCTAGTCTTTGAGTACATGAAGTGCACAGGTGTCATACATGCAGCCAAAGATACCCCTCCCAACAAAATTTAAAGAAATAAACCTTATTTTCAAGACAAGTCACTAGAAATAATCTGGAGGTATTGCTCAATGAGTCAAGATAACAGTACAGGGAAGAACAAAGACTATCACCTCTAGTGTGATATGGAACCTGAATATGCTGATACCTCATGACAACATTGGAACAGTTAGGTGATCCCTCTATGTGATAAAGTTGTTTCTATTCTTAGATCCCAGAGCTGGAGAACATCTTATGCCCAATGTAATGTGGCAAAAGAAGTTTTATCATATTGATATGTAGTTACATACCAGTAATTTTTATGAGGATCCCCCCTAATTATGGAAGAACGTGTAATACAGGAAAGTGCTGTGATCCATCATCCCGTCAACAAAGATGTCTGCTATGGAAGGAAAGTTAATTTTATCAAATGCCACAGTTTTCTTATTCTGAGGTATAACCACCGGTCTCCAGATCTCAAACCTCCTCACTGATCACTCAGGCTTGATGTAGAAAGACATGTTCCCATTCTAAATCACTCATGATCAGCAAACAAGATTGGGCATCTGCAGTAGTAAAACAATTCAATTAATTGCTGCGTGTTATTTTCTCCTAAGTCATACCCAGCAAACTCTTCTATGCTGTTCACATGTCAAATGCGTTGAAACCAAACACACTGAGGGACATAATCATTGTACTCCAGCGCTGTGGTTTTCAGTTGAGTTTCAAAGGTCCTGGATGTCATGCATATTCTCTGATGAATGTTGGCTGCATATACTGTATTCACTGGGAGCTTTTAAGTTTGCTGCAATTTCATTTTCATCTCTACACTGCTGTCAAGGTTTGTGTTGCTTCTGTGACTTCCACTGACCTTCTCATGGAACGCCATCCAGAGAGGACAGATCCTATTTCTATTGTTGATCATTAGCTCCTTCTCCTGTTGTTGTCATAAAAACAATGAATTATCTATTCCTGTGTACTCTGGTTTCTTCTGGATAGGATTAGTGGAGCTGTTAAGTGATGCCTTTTTCCTGCCTCATTGTTGAGGATTTCTCTACAATTTTCTCATACTGTACTTTTCAGAAGTAGAGTCTGTTGTCTTTGTAATACCCATGTTACACACTGTTACTTTCTTGTGGAATTACAAATGTAACTACCAGAGAGGAAATCCATAACAGTCAGGAACTGAGGGGTCTTACTGGATTCATATTTATTACTGATTGGTAATCAAAGAACTGCCCAGAACAATACCAGGAAACAGCTGTATGCATGTCTAGGAAAATGTTTCCAAAACTGATCAGAGCATTCTTTGAAATGATTCACAATATTTTTCTATACATTCTCCTTCCTCTAGCAGCTATCATGTAGTTTCTTCCATGCCTCCTTTCAGGATTCTGCCTTGACATTGCCTAGACTAGTTGTTTTCAACATGTGGACTATAAACCCTTTGGAGGTAAATTGACACTTGTCTAAAGCCATCATAATTCAAATATTCTTATGGTTTCAGGAACTGATACTCCACTTTTTTTTTTATCAATCTCCAGGTAGTTCTGCTCTCATGCAGATACATACATTTATAACTATAACTTATAAGTTTAGTACCTATAACTGTGATAAAAAGTCACAACATTAGAAAGATGGAGATCCACTGGCTTAGAACATTTAGCACATGAACATTCCATTTAAAGACATGAGTGGCCTGAATTGTAATATTCTATCAATGCATTGACATGGATTTTGGGTGATCAATATTCTCATACAAAGATGTGCATGTGACTTGGAAAACAGGACCACATGGATTCCATGAGTAAACTGGAAAGATACATTTTACCTCAATAAATGGAAAGCCTTTGTAGATGATGATAAAAATTGCTGTAACTAGATCTTATGACACTTATTTTGAGAAAAAAAATCATGGTATTTGGCAAATAAAAGATCCATCTCTAATCCAAGACAGCAGAGCACATATGGAAAATAGATGTACTATATCTGCAAGGTAGAATAAAATGAAATGTGACTGAAAAATCAGATATTGTTTTCTAGTATGATGACTGGTAAAACTCCATTTTATCCTAGGTAGCCACCAGCCATTTGGCTATGACCCCAGTCCCTGGAAGATAAGTTTCCCAGTAATAACTCTGAGTGGTAGTGTTTTGCACCAGATATGCATGTTCTGTATTAGTCTGATGGCAGCTGAAGTTAGAAAAAAGCTTCAAGTTGCAGTCAAACTTTCTGTTATCATTTGGGATCTTGTGTCTATGCTTGACATTGTTCACAGCAGAGCTGCATTAATTTTAGCTTTATATTTTTGACACCTTGATATGAAATTTTAAGAAGAATTCTGGTGTTTGTTCCTGAGACAGAAATGTGGAGAAGAGCAATAAGAAGAATGAATGCTTCTCTGGTAAATGTTCCCCAGGTCAGTGTCCTGTCCACCTTTCTTTTAAAGTTGTTTTTATTATTGAACCCATTCATGACATTCTCTATATCTGGTAATGTTATCTAAGGTGTATTTTCTATGATTTGTGTTCCTTTTTCCTGATAATTTTTCAAAATTATGTCTTTAGATCTTTCACTTATATAGCACAGCCTTTTCCCATTATATTTAAACTGGATTTTATACTGTAAGGACATAAATTTCTGTGGACTTGAGACCTAGAATTCTGAAAATTGTCTATTCTAAATGATGTTCAAAGAATATATTGATGAGCAATAGGATACCCTTGTATTCTTGTATATTATTGAGGAAGGAATGTCTCTTGTGCCACATAAATTTTTTTTCCGGAATGGTCATGTTTCCAGAAACAGGTTTATGAATGTTGATGTGCAAATATATGGACATGGAAATCATTAAAGAGAATATGGAAGAGAAGAACTTTTGGAAGAATAAAATGATAAGTGTGACTCTCTGTCTTTAATTCTAATAGTAAACATCTCAACTCTCTAGAGGCAAAGATGATGAAACGAATCGTTGATTGCTCTTCCATAACACTGATTTGCCTGTGAGATGATGAAGGTTGCAGGATTCTGGTGTCTTTCTTTGGCATTTTATGTTGCACAGTGATCATGAGTGGATTGACACTAGAAATCTGTTTGTCTCAGGAGAGGTTATGTTCAATGCTCAGTGGTAAGTTTTTAATAGGCAGATGATTATTTTCTCTATCTTTGTTTCATTTCTCAGATTTGGCATAAGCAATACTGTCTCCAACTTTACATCATGTGGACTATATTAGTAAGAATTTTCTAGAGAGTATTGACTTGGTGATGTGCATAAGCCATCAATTTTAAAGCATAAACAAATGTCCTTCTTAATTTATTCTCTTAATTTCTTTAAGAGGAAGAATAGTCCCTCTACCTGTGTTTTCCCCTTTCAGAATCTATATATTATATAGGGAACATTCGAAGCAATATAATGAGGTTTCTATTTTTCTTTACAATAATATTTTATTTAAGTATAAGAGTGTTCATCTGCATTTTTTATGTACACTGCATGATGCATTATATCCCTAGATTCCTGAATTCAGCACCAAACCTTTGGGACTGAAGTCAAGCATTGTAGTGACTTGCCATGTGCATAGAGAGAATTGAGTCAGGTTTCCATGGAGAAACAGCAAGTGCCTTTGCCTCTAAGTTATTTCTCCAGGCCATAGGTTTTCATTGTGATGCACATTTGTCACAGAGGCACTATATAATTTTGTGTGTTCTAGTTTTTAAAAAGCAAAGGAAGTATTACAGCTGATATTTTTTCTATGTAACTTACAATCCTGTTAGAAAAATGAGCTCAATTTTCTTAAGAAAAGAAAATAAAGTTGAATTAGAAGATTCAAATTTTAATTCAGGTAATCTCATGAGCAAAAAAAAAAAAAAATGTGTTTAAAATTCACACAAGATTCTTTCTCAATTTAAAACTTGACCTGATCAAAAATAGCTTCATCTGAATCTACTGTCACATATACCATTTATTTACAGATATATAGCTAATAATTCTGTAGTGAAAGATCATATGGAATTTATGAAATTGTTTCCATCTGTATTTCTATGTCAACATTTAGAAAATCTGAATAATTGTAATGCAGCCTAATGCTGATTTTCTATTTACCTTGCAGTTGTGATGTAGTCTCATAAAATAAATTCACAAAGTAGTTGATTCTATATGTTGTTTGGAATATTGGATGTGTGTACTGATGATACATTCCTTACTCTTTAAAAAGACAACTCAGACTTTTAATTCACCAGACATTCTGCATTCCATATTCGGTCTTTTTATTCTAGAAAGATTACAGCGTTGTACCTAGGCCTCAAGATGTCAACAGAACGTTTTAGAATAAAGTGAGGTGAGACCCAGCTAAAGACAGTATTGTTCTAATGTCCATGTTTGACCAAAGTTGATACTGGTAGAATTTGGAAACAGAGTTTTGCTCACCATAACTTTATTATTTATGATATTGGTAACTGACATTATAATGCTGTTTGATGTCAGCACATATTTCATAAAAGCAATATTTCATATTTCTTGATGCTTGCCTGCATCAAAACCTCAAATTCATTTGTTATATTCCCTAAACATTTGATGATTTTAAGACTATCATGCCCTCCTGTTTTCAATGAGATAGAAAAAAAATACAATAAAGACTATGAATATTTAGAAACTATCTTTTATAACAAATAAATTGTAATTTAATCTCATGTATTTCAGTTTATTTGTCCAAATGTGTGCATGTATGCTATGATGGCCTCCAGCCTGTAGAGTTCGGAAGAGAGGACTGGATCACATGGAACTGGATTTAAAATCTGGTGTTTAGTCCCATGAGGGTGCTTAGAACTGAACTACATTTTAAATTACTTTAAAAGACATTATAGAATCCAAACTAGAGACAAATTTTTCAAATGCAGTGATTGTTGCAAAATCTTTACCTACTACTCAGATCTTAGGAATCATCAGAAAAATTATAAAGTAGAGAGACCTTGTGAATGTGAACAATAATAAGTCATTCCATATATTGTCTATGGAAGAGTAGAAAGCTTAACTTCTGACCCATCTCTGCAGGATTTCTAGAAAACTTTTGTTCTAAAATGTTTGCCATGATTCATTGTTATCACAAAATATCTTAGTCTTTAGATCTTTTTTTACCTAGGAAAGTATTTTTGTCCAGCAGCACATGGTAAACAGGTAATTTTCCATTACAGGATCTGTTAACATTCAAGGATGTGTCTGTGGACTTCTCACAGGAGGAATGGGAAAGTCTTGACCGTGCTCAGAGGGCATTGTACATGGATGTGATGTTGGAGAATTACAACAATCTACTCTTTGTGGGTAAGAGTACTCTTCCTGTAGAATTCCAAGTTCATCCTTTGAATTTATCTATTTTGTGAAAATGTAAGCTCTCTGAAATATCTTAGAGACTCCTAGAATAAGGGAAATTCTACTTACTAACTTACCTTTGTCATGGTGTTTCCTTTATTTTCCTTCCCATTCTCTGGAAGAGTAACCAGTACTATGTTCTGTTGTAATCTTTTATCTAGCTTTTAATCAAAACTTCAAAGTTCAAAGAAAATTGAATGTTCAGTGCATGGAAATATATTACTGTATAAATAATAATAGAAATATTTTAAATTTACTATTGCATTGTCTTCATTTATTTAAGGTTTTTTAAATTTGTGTTTTAAGTTTTTTATTCACTTTACATCCCAATCGCAGATCTCCCCTCTCCCCCCATTGCCCCATCATACATTTCCCTCAGTTTCCATCAGTATCCTCGAAGAAGAGGGAGGTGCTCCCCTGGTTACCAACCCACCCTGACACAACAAGTCACTACAGGATGGCTTATCCTCTCCCAGATGGTACAGCACAGTTAGGGGAAACAGGATCCACGTGGAGGTAACAAAATCAGTGTCAGCCCCCTTTCCAGTTGTTGGGGTGCCCTGCATGAAGACCAGGCTTCATATCTGCTACATATGGAATGAGCACTGCCCAGCCCACCTATGCTCATTGGATGATGATTTTTCATCTCTGGGAACCCCCCACCCCCAGGGTTCTAGAGTAGTTGACTCTGTTAATAGGCTAGTGGAGTCCCTATCCCTTCTGGGTCCCTCAATCCTTCCCCCAACACTCCATAATACTCCCTTAGCTCTGTCTAACGTTTGGCTGTAGTTCTCTGGCTCAGTTTCCATCAGCTGCCAGGTGGAAGCCTCTGAGAGGACAGTTATGGTAGATGCCTGTCTGCAAACATACAGAGTGTTATTAATAATGTTAGGGACTACTTCTTGCCCATGGAATGGGCCTCACCTTGTGTCAGTCATTGGTTGGCCATTCTCTTGGACTCTGCTCCATCTTTGTCTCTCCACGTCTTGCAGGCAGGGCAGATTTTGGGTCAAGGGTTTTGAAGTTGTGTTAGTGTTTTTATTCTTCCACTGAGAGTCCTGCCTGATTATTAGCCATTTGTCGGATGTCGGGTTGGTGGTGATCTTTTCCCATTCTTCAGGCTGACGTTTTATCATATTGACAATGTCCTTTGCCTTACAGAAGCTTTTCTGTTTCATGAGGTCCTGTTTATTAATTGTTGATCTTAGTGCCTGATCTATGGGTGTTCTGTTCAGGAAGTTGTCTCCTGTATAAATTAATTCAATTTCTTTTCTATTAGATTTAGTATATCCAATTTTATGTTGAGGTCATTGATCCACCTGGGCTTGAGTGTTGTGCAGGGTAAATAAATTTGCATCTACTTGCATTTTTCTACATGCAGGCATCCAGTTAGATCAGCACCACTTGTTGAAGATACTTTTCCCCCATTGTATGATTTCAGCTTCCTTGTTTTAAAAAAACAAAAACAAAAAATCAAAAAACAAACAAAAACAAAATCAAAACAACAAAACAACAACAACAACAAAACACAAGCCAAAAAAAAACAAGCATATGTAGCTGTATGGGTAGGTCTTCAATTCGACTCTGTTGATCATTCTGTTTGTTTGTAGACTAATACTATGCACTTGTTATTACTATTACCCTGTATTGCAGCTTGAAACCAGGGATGGTGATACCTCTAGACGTTCTTTTGTTATACAAGATTAACAGGGTTGTTTTAGATATCCTGGGATTTTTTTGGTTTTCTATATGAAGCTTAGAATTTTTTTTCAAATTCTGTGAAGAATTGTGTTGGAATTTTGATGTGAATTCTATTGAATCTGTAGATTGCTCTCGGTGAGATAACCATTTTTACTATGTTAATCCTACCAATCCATGGGTACTGGAGATCTTACATCTTCTGATATCTTCCTCAGTGTTTATCCTCAGAGACTTGAAGTTCCTGACATACAGGTCTTTTACCTATGTGGTTAGAGTGACACCAAGATATTGTATATTATTTACGTCTATTTTAAAGGTATTGTTTCACTGATTGCTTTCTCAGTCTAATTATAGTTTATATAAATGATGGCTACTAATTTATTTGAGTTAGGTTTGTATGCATCCACTTTGCTGAAGGTGTTTATAACCTGCAGGAGTTCTCTGGAAGAGTATTTTTGGAAACTTGAGTGTGCTATCATATCATCTGCAAAAAGCAATACTTAGACTTCTTTTCTAATATGTATTTTCTCATTCTTCTTTAGTTGTATTACTACTCTAACAAGAACTTCAAGTACATATTGAGTAGATAGGGAAAGAGTGGACAGCCTTGTCTTGTCCCTGGAATTAGCGGGATTGCTTTAATTTTCTCTCCATTTAATTTGATATTTGCTGTTGGTTTGCATTTATTGTGTTTATGTATGTGTCTTGTATCTTTTATCTCGCTAAGCCTTTAAACATGAGCAGTGTTGGATTTTGTCAAAGGCTCTTTCAGCATCTAATTATGATCATGTGATTTTTTTTTCTTATTTTGATGGATTTACATATATTGAACCACCCCTGTATCCCTGAGATGAAGCCTACTTGATCATGGTGGATGATGTTTTTAATGTGTTCTTGGATTTGCTTTGCGAGTATTTTATTGAGTATTTTTGCATCAGTATTCATAAGGAAAATCAGTCTGAAATTCTCTTTCTTTTTTGGGTCTTTGTGTGGTTTAGGTATCAAGGTGACTGTGGCCTCATAGATTCAGTTTGGCAATGTTCTTTCTGTTTCTTTTTTGTAGAATCATTCGAGGAGTGTTGAGGAGACTTCTTTACAAGTCTGGTAGACCACTATTTAAGCCAGCACCAGTTGCTGCATGTGCTGTCTTTTTTCCACTGGATGGTTTTAGCTTCTTTGTCAAAGATCAGGTGACCATAGATGTGTGGGTTTAATTCTGGGTCTTCAATTCTATTCCATTGATCTTCCTGCCTGTCTCTATACCAATACCATGCAATTTTTATCACTATTGCTCTGTACTAGAGCTTGAGGTCAGGGATGGTGATTCCCCCAGAACTTCTCTTATTGTTGAGAATAGTTTTTGCTATCCTGGCTTTTTCATATTCCAAATGTATTTGAGAATTGTTCTTTCTATCTCTGTGAAGAATTGATTTGGAATTTTGATGAGGATTGCATTGAAACTGTAGATAGCCTTTGGTAAGATGGCCATTTTTACTATGATGATCCTGCTGATCAATGGATCCATGAGCATGGGAGATCTTTTCATCTTCTGAGGTCTTCTTCAAGTGCTTGCTGACAGAAGCCTGATAATATCTGTCTTTTGAGAGGCTCTGCCAGAGCTTGACCAATAGAGATGCAGATGCTTGCAGCTAACCATCATTGGACTGAGCACAGGAACCCCAGTGGAGGAGTTAGGGGAAGGACTGAAGGAGCTGAAGGGGGTTTGCAACCCCATAGGAAGAACAACAATATCAACCAACCAAACCTCCCAAGGACTAAAGCACCAACCGACAAGTACACATGGAGGGACTCAGCTGCATATGAAGTAGAGGATTGCTTTATCTGGCATCAGTGGGAGAGGTCGCCCTTAGTCCTGTGACGACTTGATGCCCCAGCCTAGGAAAATCCTAAGATGGAAAGGCAGGAATGAGTGGGTAGGTGGGGAGCACTCTGATAGAAGCAGGGGAAGAGGGATGGGATAGGGGGTTTTCGGAGGGAAAACCAGGAAGGGGATAACATTTGAAATGTAAATAAATAAAAATAATCAATAAACACGTTATATAAAAATAAAAGTCTGGTAGAATTCTGAGCTATAACCATCAGGCCTCAGTCTTTTTCGGGGAAAGACTGATAATGACTGCTTTTATTTCATTATGAGTTGTTACATGAATTTTTTTACTTGGTTTAACTTTAGTAAATGAAATCTATCCAGAAAATAGTCTGTTTCCTTTAGATTTTTCCAATTTTGTGGAGTACAGGCTTTTGGAGTAAGACCTAATGATTCTTTGGATTTCCTTAGTGTTTGTTGTTAGGTCCCCTTTTCATTTCTGATTTTGTTAATTTTGATATCCTCTCTGCCTTTTAGTTAGTGTAGCTAAGGGTTTGTCTATCGTCTTGATTTTCTCAAAGAACCAGCTCTTCGTTTCATTAGTACTTTCTATTGTTCTCGTTGTTTTTACTTTACTGTTTTCAGCCCTGAGTTTAATTGTTTACTGCCATCTACTCTTCTTGGATACATTTGGATCTTTTTGTTCTAGAGGTTTTAGATGTGTTTTTAAGTTGCTAGTATGAGATCTCTCCAATTTTTTTAATAAAGGTGCTATGAATTTTTCTGTTAGCACTGTATTCCTTATGCCCCATAAGTCTGCATATGTTATGCTTTTATTTTCATTGAAATCTAAAAAGTCTTTAATTTCTTCTTTTATTTCTTTTTTGAATTAATGACCATTGAGTAAAGAGTTGATCAGTTTTCTTGAGTTTGTAGGCTTTCTGCTGTTGTTGAAATCCAGCTTTAAACCATGGTATTCCAACAAGATGCAAGGGGTTATTTCAATTTTCTTTCATCTGCTGAGTCTTTTGTTATGGCTGAGTATATAATCTGTTTTGGAGAATGTTCTGTGAGGTACTGAGAAGGTACCATTTTTGTTTGGATGATATGTTCCATATCTATGTTCGGTCAATTTCATTCATAGCATCTGTTTGATTCATTATTTTTCTGTTTAGTTTCTGTTTCAGTGACCTTTCCATTGGTGAGATTGGGGCATTTTCCAGTATTAATCTGTGGGGTTCGCTTTGGTAATGTCTCTTTTATGAATATGGATGCCCTTGGATTTGGGTCATAGATGTTCAAAATTGAGACATCATCTTAGTGGTGTTTCCCTTTGATCAGTATGAAGTGTACTTCTCCATCTTTTTTTCATTACTTTTGGTTGACTGTCTATTTTATAAAATACTAGAATGGCTTCCCTGGCTTGTTTCTTAGGGCTGTTTGCTTGAAAACCCTTTTTCCAGTCTCTTACTCTGAGGTAGTATCTACCTTTGTTGCTGACATGTGTTTCTTGTATGCAGCAGAGTAATGGATCCTGTTTTCATGTCCATTGTGTTAGCCTGTCTCTTTTTATGAGAGAAGTAATTTTATTGATGTTGAGAGATACTAATGACCAGTGAATGTTAATATCTGTTATTTTGATGTAGATGGTAGTAGCGTATGTATCTGTGAGAGTGTGTGTGTGTGTGTGTGTGTGTGTGTGTGTGTGTGTTTCTTCTTTTGGTTTTGCTGGTGTGCAGTTACTTATTTCTTTTCTTGGGTATAGTTATCCTCTGTATGTTGGATTTTCCTTCTAGTATCCCCTATGGGGCTTGGTTATTAGAAAGATGTTGCTTAAATTTTTCTTATATTCCTTATATGTTTAAGTTTGGTCTTTTCATGATGATACAGATTTCTTTAATGTTTTGTGTCATGATACTTTTATATTTATCATTCTCTTTGACCAACGTATCAATTTCTTCTATTATATCTTCTATACCTGAGAATCTCTCTTCAATTTTTTATATGCTTGTGTCTTTAATTACTGTTCTCTTTCCTAAGTTTTCCATCTCTTAGGTGCCCTCATATGGTATTTTCTTTATTGCTTTTATTTTCATTGTCAACTCTTATTTATTTATTTATTTATTTATTTTAAATTCCAAATTTTATTTCCCTCCTTGTCCACCCTCCAACTGTTTCATATCCCATATCTCCTCCCCGACCCCTGTATCCACGAGGATGTCCCCACCCCACCAGACCTCTAAAATCCCTGAGACCTCCAATCTCTTGAGGATTAGGTACATCTTCTCTGACTGAACCCAGACCCAGCAGTCCTCTATTATGTATGTGTTGGGGGGCCTCATATCAGCTGGTATATTTTGCCTGGTTGGTGGTCCAGTGTTTGAGAGATCTCAGGGGTCCAGGTTAATTGAGACTGCTGGTCCTCCTACAGAGTTGCCCTCCTCCTCAGCTTCTTCCAGCTTTCCCCTAATTTAACCACAGGGGTCAGCAGCTTCTGTTCATTGGTTGAGTTCAAATAGCTGCATCTGACTCTTTCAGCTGCTTGTTGGGTCTTTTGGAGGGCATTTGTGAGTGCTCCATAGCCTCAATAATAGTGTCAGGCCTTGGGACCTCCCCTAGAGCTAGATCCCACTTTGGGCCTATTGCTGAACCTAGGCTCCTTAATAACTTGGTCAGGGAAGAAATAAAGAAAGAAATTAAAGACTTCCTAGAATTTAATGAAAATGTTGATACATTATAACCAAACTTATGGGACACAATGAAGGCAGTTCATAGCACTAAGTGCCCTGGTAAAGAAACTGGAGAGATCTTACACTAGCAACTTAACAGCACACCTGAGAATTCTCGAACAAAAGGAAGCAAACACACCCAAGAGGAGTAGACAGAAGGAAATAGTCAAACTCGGGGCTGAAGTCAACCAAATAGAAACAAAGAGAACAATACAAAGAATCAAAAAAAAAAATCAAAAGCTGGTTCTTTGAGAGAATCAACAAGATAGATAAACCCCTAGCCAAACTAACTAAAGGACCCTAAGGCAGTATCCAAATTAACAAAATCAGAAATGAAAAGAGAGAGATAACAATAGAAACTGAGGAAATTAAAAAAATCATCAGATCCTACTACAAAAGCCTATACTCAAGAAAACAGGAAAATCTAGATGAAATGGATGGTTTTCTAGACAGATACCACATACCAAAGTTAAATCAAGCACAGGTAAACTATCTAAAGAGGCCCATATCCCATAAGGAAATAGAATAAGTCGATGTCAACCCTTGAACAGTTTTATTAATTTCTTTCACCTTGTTATTGTATTTTCCTGTATTTCTTTGTATGTATTCATTTCTTCTCTTAAAGCCTCTACCTGTTTGATTGTATTTTTCTGAATTTCTTGGAGGGACTTATTAATTTCCTCTATTATCTTTGTAAGATTAGATTTAAGGTCATTTCTTGCACTTTAGGTGTGTTAGGATATCCAGGGCTAGCTCTAGTAGGATAGCTGGGTTCTGGTGGTACCATATAGCCCTAACTTTTGTTGATTATGTCCTTATGCTAGCTTTTCACCATTATATAGTCCCTGGTGTTAACAGGCCTAGTAGGTCCTGGTTGCAGCAGAATATGGGACTGTAGCTGGAGCTTTTAGTCCCAAGTGGCAACATACTTTTGGGGATGCACAGAGGTGGAAGTCCCAGATGGCAGCAGGCCTTGTTTGGTGACAGGTAGACCTGGTTGTCCCAAATTGTAGTAGGACTTCAGGGATGCAGTCAGAGCTGGTGGTCCATGATGGTTGCAGGCCTCTAGGGTTGCAAATAGAAGTTTGGACTGGAGGACTGAATACAGTTGAGGTAGGGAGATTCTCACCACTGCTGGGCCTGCTGGGAATTGCAGTGGACAGGGACTTGAGACATGGGGATCTCACCTGGTTGTCCCAGGTGACAAGAGGCCTCCAGAGAAACTGGCAGAGCTATGGCCCAGAGAATGGAGGGCATGAGAGGGACAGGACAGGACTCACTGCTACTGGTCCATGATGGCTGCTTGTCTCTAAGATTCTTATTTATGGTGTTTTAAAAATGTAAATTTTAAGTAGAGAAAGAACTATGGGTAAGGAGAATTTAGTTTTTGCTAATATATTTACTTTTTCCATATGGACTGTATATTTAGTACTGGTACAGTATGATCTTTATTCCAATACTTCAGATCTAGAAGCAAGGATATAGGGTGAGTACCATGACAATATGAGTTATATAGTGAATTCCTAAGTGACCAAAGCTATACTCTGTCTTAAAACATAAGCAAGAAACATTGCTTATATGATCCTTCCAAAAGTTCCTTTCTCAAAGTTCTTCACTAAATGATCACTTACTTGTCTGTGTAAGTGATCTTCTCTAAGGTACAGTGTGTAAATAAGAATTATCATTTCCATTCATTTGATATAGATTAGATTTGAGTTTCTTCTGAGCATCCAGTTAATGAGTTTGAAACAAAAAAGTACTCCGTTGAGAGCTTTATCTTTGAGAATTGCTAATTTACCTTTCTTACTAAACGTACAAGAGCATCTGTTATTGAATCTCTTACTCATGCGTTAATCACTGTCATCCCTAATTGCACTCTTTTTCAGAGAATAATCATGTATGTATCAAGCATGATGAAGTCTTGGATCAAGGCACAAAGTATAGTGTCCCTGAGAATGTGATTATTCAAGAGAAGTCTAATAAATGGAATGAATGTGGAAAAATGATTGATGAGTCCTCCAAAAGTACAGCTTATCAAACTAACAACAGAGAAGCCTCCATTGAATCATCAAACAGACATAAAACTGAGAATGCCATGGAACCATGCAAATATAAAGACTGTGCGAATGCCTTCAATTTGTATTCCATCACTAGTCAAAATCAAACAGTGCACCTAGAAATGAAAAAACACAACAAAACACAGTATGATAAAGTTTCTCACTCTAAATGTAAACTCGTGCTAAAAGGAAACAATAGTGGAATGAAACCACACAAGTGCAGGAAGTCTGGGAAATTCTTCAAGATGTACTCAAGCCTGAGTAGACCTCAAAGAGTTCATACTAGAAAGAAACACTATAAATGTACAAAATGTAGTAAATCCTTTCTGCATTTGTCACACTTCAAACTACATTACAAAATCCATTATGGAGGATATCCCTACAAATGTACAGAATGTGGTAAGTGCTTTTATTATGTATCAGACTTTGAAAGACACTACAAAATCCACCCTGAAGAGAATACTTACAAATGTAGTTTTTGTGGCAAATCCTTTATATGCTGTTCAGGTCTTAGAAAACATGAGAAAATTCATGAAGGAGAGAGGCTCTTTGAATATAACCAAGGTACTAGGTCAGTCTGTACATTTTCCTATGGTGGATACCATTACAAGGCAGATACAAGAGAGAAATGTTACAGATGTAAAGAATGTGGCAAATCCCTTTCCACATCCTCAGGACTTAAAATACATCAGAGAATTCATACAGGAGAGAAACCTTACAAATGTAGTGACTGTGATAAATCTTTTACCCAGAAGAGCAATCTTAGAATGCATCAGAAAATTCATACAGGAGAGAATACTTTCAAATGCAGTGAATGTAACAAATGCTTTACCCAGAAATGTCTTCTTAGAACTCATCAGAGAACTCATTCAGGAGAAAAGCCTTACAAATGTAGTGAATGTGACAAAGCCTTTGCTGATGGCTCATATCTTAGAAGTCATCAGAGAATTCATTCAGGAAAGAAACCTTACAAATGTAGTGACTGTGACAAATCCTTTAACCGGAAAGACCACCTTAGAATTCATCAGAGAATTCATACAGGAGAGAAACCTTATAAATGTAGTGAATGTGACAAATGCTTTACCCAGAAAGGCAGTGTTAGAATTCATCAGAGAATTCATACAGGAGAGAAACCTTACAAATGCAGTAAATGTGATAAATCTTTTACCAAGAAAGACTGTCTTATAATTCATCAGATAACTCATACAGGAGAAGAACCTTACAAGTGTAATGAATGTGAGAAATCCTTTAACCGGAAAGAGCATCTTAGAGCTCATCAAAGATTTCATACAGGAGGGAGAATTTACAAATGTAGTGAATGTGATGAATCCTTTACTCTGAAAATCAGTCTAAGAATTCATCAGAAAATTCATATAGGAGACAAGACTTATAAATGTAGTATATGTGACAAATCCTTTAACCGGAGAAACCATCTTAGAACTCATGAGAGAATTCATGCAGGAGAAAAGCCTTACGATTGTAGGGAATTTGAAAATTCCTTTACCCAGAATGGCTCTCTTAGAATTCATCAGAGACTTCATTCAAGAAAGAAACTTTACAAATGCAGTGAATGTGACAAATCCTTTACTAGCAGCTCATATGTTAGAATACATCAGAGAATTCATTCAGGAGAGAAACCTTACAAATGCAGTGAGTGTGACAAATGCTTCACCAGTGGCTCATATCTTAGAATGCACCAAAGAATTCATACAGGAGACAAACCTTACAAATGTGGTGAATGTGACAAATGCTTTACTCAGAAATGCAGTCTGAGAATTCACCAGAGAAGTCATACAGGAGAAAAACCTTACAAATGTGGTAATTGTGACAGATCCTTTACAAGTGGGTCATATCTTAGAATACATCAGAGAATTCATAAAGGTGAGAAGCCTTATAAATGTAGTGAATGTGACAAATCCTTTACCCAGAAAGGCTATCTTAGAATTCATCAGAGAATTCATAAAGGAGAAAAACCTTACAAAGGTAGTAAATGAAAACTCCTTTATCCAGAAACCCTAACTTGTGGAACTCATCAGAAAATTCATATTGGAGAAAATCCTTAAATGTAGGGAATATAGCAAATCCCTTCACAGGAAGAAGCTGTCCTAGAACTTATCAGAAATTTCATACAAGAAATAAAACATACAAATGTATAGAATTTGATAAATCTTTTACCCAGAAAGACTGTCTTAGAATTAATCAGAGACTTCATTCAAGAAAGAAACTTTATAAATGCAGTGAATGTGACAAACCCTTTACCATGACAAACTATCTTAGACCTCGTCAGAGAAAACAGGAGAGAAACTTTACAAATTTGGTGAATAATACAAATCCTTAACTATTGGCACATCTCTTAGGATACATCAAAGAATCCATGAAAGAGAGACACTTTACAGATAAAGTGTATGAGAAGTCTTCACCCACATCTCATGTCTTAGAAAACATCTGAAATTCATAGTGGGAGAAAGTTTCCGTAAGAAGTCATGTCCTTTATAAGAGCTGTATCTTTTGTGACACTTGAACCTCCACACTAGAGATTATTATGAACATAAGAAACTTTTGAAAACCTTGAGAAATATTCAATCTTAAAAAATACCAAGAGTTTATGGTGAGGGGAAAGTCTGAAAATGTGACAATGTAGGAAATTTTTTATTAAAACTTTTTATTTGTTAAACTTTACACTTTGACTTCTATTCAATCTTTGAACTTTGTTCAAATTTTATTAAACTTGTTCATCCTCAAATAATTCATAATGAACACAAAATGGAGAAGCCAGAAGAGTATGGTATTGTGTAACAGTTTTCTGCAGACTGGAATGACCCATTCTGAAGGGATTGTGATTAAGGCAGCAAATATATACCTCGAAATAGCTTCAAGAAATCCCTGAAAGTGACAGCATTATCTGCTTAAGTCAAACGATGAAACCCAGACAAATTATACCTCTTAAAAGAGGATTTGACAAAGTGCCACCAAAATAGGATGCATTTACTAAATAAATTCCTACTCATTACTTTTCTATCTGAGATGTATATGTAGTAAAATGTAAATACTGTAATTAGAAATGTGTAATTATATGCAAAATTGTTAATGTTACTCCTTATGATGTAGCAAACTGCACTATGTATGCTGTGAGAATATCAGGCTATACTACGTTTACAGATGGAAAATTCAGTATACATTAGGACAAAATTTAAAACCATCTTTTAAACAATTTTGATTGTTCAATTGTATTAGAAAAGTTTACTCTTAATTTTCTTTTGTCTCCTGGGTTCAACCAAAGCACTATCCTCTTTGGTGAACTGCTAGATTACCTTGGTCTTGTGTCTATTTGCTGGGTATATATTTCAGAGTGCTGCCCTGTCTGTGTCAGAACTCCCGATATAGACCAAGCCTGGACTTGTATGGGATCTACCTCTCTCTGCGTCCTGGTTTCTAGGATTAAAGCACTGTACAGGATTTGATGATAGCCCTTATCACTGTGCACTTCATTCAGGAGGAATGGTAATGCCTAGACCCTGATTTCTGTGCTTTGTACATAGACTGGAGGTTGAAGAATTGCAGTAGTCTGGTTTGTGTGAATTCAAATAGCAGGCTGCAGTCTGTATTGAGCCTCGGGGTTTTAGAGGAAACGTCAAATTTGTGATTTCTCTGGGAATGATTCACACATCTCACAGAGAAAAAGAACTTCAATGTAGAAATAAACATTGCATGGTACTTTCTGTTCTTCATGTTGCTCCTTTGGACAATTATAAGGATTCTTTTATTTTTGTTTTGTGATAAATTAAGAAATTCAGTATGTAAAATAGTCATCCCAATCATTCTGTTCCATGCCAGTACTTAAGTTTCAGTTGAGCTGTGAGTAGGAGTGGTGGAAATCAAGTTATGCTATCTACAAACTCTCCCTAAGGAGTTATAACTGTGACATTGCATTATAGTTGTCTTTTGTAGAATATCTTCTATTTAGTCTTCCCTTTATTTACCAACCACTGTACTGTTAGAAATCCTAGATGTTTTGAAAAATCTCTTTCCCGTAGCTTGGACTGACTGAAACAGAACAAAGAGACCTGGAATGTATACCTAAATGAGAAAGTATAAATGATGCCAGATATTCTGCAGGAAATTGAGGTAGGAGTAATGAAAAAATCAAATGACATTGGAAATAAAGTGGAGAAAGGAGTTGGCTCAGCAGAGATAACACTTGCTTTTCTTGAAGAGGACATGGGTACAGTTCCCTCCATCAAAACAGTGGCTGACCAACTTCATAATTTTAATTACAGTAAATCAGGTATCTTTTGTCTGGCCTCAGCATGTACCAGCCACAAGCAAGCTACATGCATACATGCTGAAAAACATTGATAACACAGAAGCTAAAGTAAATAATCTAGTGAACATTTTAAAGACAAAAATGTGCAAATGGTAAATGAAATTTTGATTTGCTATATTGTTTCTCTAGAAATGAGTCTAGAATATACTGTAATGTCAAGATTATCCTATTATATGTTACTGACTTTTATATAAGCATAATAGGGGAAAATATAATTTGTTCAATTGTGCATGTGTCCCATGTGTTCATATATATCTATTATATGAATTTCATTGCTTTCATTTTACCATTCTTCTAAAACTAGGAATATTTCTGACTCTAACTTTTTCCCCCTAATCTAATGTTGATTGTTTCTGTTGTTCCTTTAATGTCTATTTCTTTTGTGGTCAGTTTTTTTTAATATAATACCAGCAGGACTTTAATTAAAACTGTTTAGTATGTTTACACAGTATTGAACTTTGTATTGCCTTCCCATTTATATCTCGTTTTCTCTCTTTACACCATTACTCTATGGTAGTCTTTGCAATAATTGTAAGAGATTTTGGATCTTGGTTCAATCTTCTGAAGGTTTTTGAACTCCTGGAGTTTTCTCAAATTTTGATATCTTTTTAGTATTGATTTGTTTATTTTGCAGTAATTGTCTATTCCTCTTGAAACAATTTGATTACATACTTCAAGGAAGTGAAAACTCATTGATTGTATTCCCGTATTTTAATGAGAATTTTACAGGAATTTCTCAGTGTTGACATGTTGAACATTTATTTTTCTTGTTTTGTTGCTGTTTATATGCATGGGATCTGTGAATAAATACTCATTGCAAGAATCTACTAATATTAGTCATATCGTACAAAACCATATGTGTGATAAAGTTCATTTTACGTGAACTTTTGCCTGTTTGATTTTTGAAGTTACACACTGGCTTGGATGGTCACTACAGTAAGTTGAATTTCTACTGGTAGTGTGTGTCTCAATTTTTTTTGTTTACGTTTTCTCCAAGATTGATTATTTTTTAGTGTAGTTAGTATGGACGGTAACAAGGCAGAGGGGGAATCTTGAGTTACACTCTCTTCTGTGGCCAAAAGCTACTGAGTTATGGCTACTATTAGCAGCAGGGAGTCAAGTAAAGAAATTAGTTACTTGGGTTCTTTGTTCTTTGGCTTGTGGACCCCTCTCTGTTCACTCTGCCTCCTTCCCAAGAGCTGGGATTCAAGGTGTGAGTGACCGTGCCCATCAGTTTATTTTTTCTCAGTGGACAGATTCTGACTGCTGCTTTGTGCTGGAAACTTGGAAATTGACAGCCCTTGACAGCCCTGCTCCCCAGCTCTCCACATCAGGCTATGCATCTTGATGTCCAGTTATCCATCTTGACTATCTTCCTTATCTCTTTCCAATTATTGTTGTTCCCCTACTAAAAACAAGCCTCTCAGTTCAAGTCCAGCGCGGACTACCGACAGAATTCCAGGATACCTGAGGCTACACAGAGAATCCCCATATTGAGAAAATTAATAATAAATTTAAAAAGACCCCTGCCTGTAACTCCATTTCTTTGGGTGACAACTTTTTCTGCTTTTAGTCTATTCACCGTTTCCTAGGCAGGAGGACTGGGGTCTCCGCCCTGGTGATAGCTTGGCTTCTGTTGAGGTTTTTGGCTCTGCTATTCCAGGAAGAGCTGTTGATGTGTTTTGTGGTTAACTGAACTGACTTCAATTTATACTTGTGATCACTCAGTTTTGGTTCCTTAGAGACCAGTCACTCATAGCTGTGGGAAAATATAAGCTGCAAATAACTTCTCCCTATGTCAGGACACCTGTGTCGTGAAGATCTTAATTTACTACACCACCTCATGGAGACTGAAGAAACTGCTCAATTCCATTTTGAAGTCAGAAGCCATTATGCCATATTTTCAAAAATGTTGCCATTTAAACAGATGTAGAGACCCACAACCATATATGAGATGGTGCTTGAGGAATCCTGTGGAATAGTTATGGGAATGACTAAGGAACCCAAAGGTGGCAGGGACTCCTCAGAAAGACCAACAAAATCAACTAGACTGGACCCTTGGGGGCTCCCAGAGACTGAACCACCAATCAAAGATTGAGCTTGGGCTGGGACAACCTCCCCCTCCACATACGTAGCAAAAGTGCAACTTAGTCTTCATGCCACTTCCCCGAGAACTGGAGTGAGCATTGTCCCTGAGTCCATTGCCTACCTATGGATCTTGTTTCCCCTAACTGGGCCACATTGCCTCAGTGGTCTCTGGGAGAGGATATACCTAGTCATACAGTGACTTGAAGTGCCAGGTTGGAGTTGTGATACCCAGGGGAACCAACCCTATTTCAGTGGAGAAGGGTAGAGGCAGTGAGGGGAGAATCTGTGGGAGAAAGTACTGGAATGGGAAGGGAACTGATACTGAGATGTAAAGTGAATAAATAAATTTTTTTAAAAGAATTTCCATTTACTGTAAGAATTGTGTTGCTATTGCTAGGTCTGTTTCCCAAAGTCTAGCCACAACAACCCATGAACTTGAATTCTTTTTGAGAATTCCCTACCCTCCTTAATCACTCACTGTCTTGGGACTTCCACTGCTATGAAGAGACACCATGACACAGGCAACTCTTATAAATGTAAACATTTGTTTGAGACTGGCTTATTGTTTCAAAGATTCAGTTC